ATACGTTCTATATCTGTGTTATTTACGGATGTTATTGTGAGTTATAAGTTATGAGTTCTGAACCCCACAGCTTACTTGACGATATAGTCCAAGTGCTGCATTATACATGTCTCTCCTCGTTCTATTAGTGGTTGTTTGGTTCACGGACTAAGTGATTCCAGAACTAATGAAAAAGTGATTGCATTTTTCCATGTCCTCAAACAAGTTGCGGCCTTTTTTGCATAATGCATTTGCATCGCTGCTCTTAAATCATCAAACGTAGGATGTTTGCAGCTAATGATTTTATAAATATGCTTGCATGGAGATACAGTTTTTTCCGGGCAACATGGCTAACGTAGACGTGTTATTTCAGGCAAAGTCTCTTATTTACAGATTGACGGAGGAGAAAGCTGGTGCTCTACATCAGAGCAACAGACTTCGTCAAGAATTGGTAAGGAATCACATTACTTTCTTCGATTGATTCTCGTGTTTTTAGAACTCCAATACTTGTATTATGCAGTTTCTTGTGTAGAAACAGAATTGTCAGCTGAACTTGTGTAGAAAGACAAATAGTCTGCTCTGCAACTTTTGCGTTATGAGTGGTTGTTATATCTTTTATAGCTCGGACTCTCCAAAAAAAATGTTGTCGCACCTGTGTCAGATCCTCCAAAACGCTACTATACTTTTAGAGGATCTGACATATACCAATCAACATTTTTGAAGAGTCTGAATAACATAGCTTTTAGTTACGTACAACGGCTTACTTCTGCAACACTGTCTGCAGGAAATTATGAGGCGCGATATCAGCAAAAGCCGCAGTGGTGGTGTTTCGTTCAAGTTCGTCATCGTCCTTGGCTTGATTGGTGTAGTTATGGGCTACATTCTCAAAAGTTCATGAACAATCACTATATTTTCCATCAAAATGTTTGTTTTGTCAACCTCAGAGAAGCATTGAGGTGAAAAAGAAAAGAGGCTAGCCAAATGATGATTCTACTTGGTTTAGCTGCACTTCCTTTGTAAGAAAAAAAAGTTGTCTATTATTTGCCTGCAATCTCTATGTAAAAGTGTCTGATTAGCTCAAAAAGAAGTTGCAACAACTTTAGTTTTGAATTTTTTTCACAATAACTTTGTATCTTTCTCTTTTTTTTTTACTCATTCGGTTTCCGATTCCTATATTGGATTTCGATTAAGTCTGAATTCACACCGAGAAGTTTCGATAAAATATTGACATAATACATACATGTGCCATTTAACTTGGTTTCATTTCACATTTATATCCTCAAACTTAGAATATGCACAAATGGACAGACACTTAAATTTATATAAAGTTGAACAAGTAAACACAGTAGCCCTATGTGACACAATAGGACGCAAATTGTCATGTAGGATGTATGTATTTATTTGTTCAATTTTACACAAGTTTAAGTGTTTACTTGTACACACTCAAAGCTAAAAAAACAAAAATATAAAATGAGATAAAGTTAAAAGTTATATTTCTGTATTATTGCTTAAAATATTTCTTACACTACCCGTAGGAAATCGGAGGAATGGAGAAAGAGTAAATATAGCTAGTTTTGATAAGTAAAAGGATAAATATAGTTCTAAAGTATTATCGAAAAGATATATCTATCGAAAAAAACAAATAGCATATTATATTAAAAATAGTGTAATAATGCAAAGATGAAAGACTTTCAAATATGTACTAAGGAATATTCTAACTGTATGTCTCTAGCGTTTAATAATCGTGATATTTAACTTAACTTATAATTACTTTTAATTATAAAAAATATAACTAATTTTATGAGCAAATATTATTTTCTAAGAATACAAATATCGAAATAATTTTATCTATCAATTAAGATTGTTTGACTTTTATCTATGATTCTTGAAGCCTACGTATGCTCATATCTCTAAGCAACCACACACAATTTTTTTTTTTCAAATATTTTATATAAAATAATTACTTGATAATGATAAAAAAAATTAGGCTACATACATTATTTATAGAGTCCAAAAAAACAAAGCAAAAGAAAAAAGTTTTTTTAATCATTCAATTCAATCAAACCTACTACTATAATCTTCCCATTTTTTTTCCCCCTTTTCTTGTTCAATCATTCTCTACAAAAAAAGGTATAATCTTTATTCCCTTTTTTAAAAAAAAATCTCAATTTTTTTTGGGTATTGTGGCACAGAACTGATTTGGGTTTTTGAGGTCAAAATTGATTGATTTGAGTTCAAGATTCTTGCTTTATCAATTGGGTGTTTGTTTTTCTTCTTATTTCAGTTAATTTATTGTGTTATTTACTTCTGGGGTTATTTGATTTTTCTGTTTACTAAAGAAAATATGGGGTTGTAGTTTTTTTTTTTTTTTGAAGGAATTGGATTATTTGGTAATTGGGTATTTCAGTTTTAACATAAAGATTTAAGCTTTTTTTGCTATTTATTTTTAAGCCAGGAGAATTAGGATTTGATGGTGTTATTAGCTTTATATCAGTTTAATCTTTTGTTAAGTTTGTAGGATTTGTTAATCTTTAGTTGTTTTTAGAACTGATTTAGTAGCATTAGATAGTATTCGCGTAGTATCTTATTCTTCGACTTTTTGCTTGCTTTCATTTGACTTCCTTTGAGTTAAGGGTCTATTGGAAACAACCACTTTACCTTACTAAGATAGGGATAGGGATAAGGTGTGCATACATTATATCCTCGCTATGCCAAACCCCACTTGTGGGATTACACGTCATATTTGATTGTTCTTTTTCCCCTTTTTAGTAAGCATTAGATAGTATTCACATAGTATTTGTATTCTTCAATTTTTTGCTTTGTTCATCTTGCTTGCAATGTTGCTCTTGATTTCATTTCTTTTGAGCCGAGGGTCTCTTGGAAACAACCACTTCACCTTAAAAAGATAAAGATAGGGATAAGATGTGCGTACATTTTATCCTTGTCAGACCTCACTTGTAGGATTACATTGACTTGTGATGATGTTGTAATCTTTGATTGTTGTTTTGCAAGGAAATATAGGTTGTAATGCTTTTATTCTTTTGTTTTGTTCGTTGAAGAAATCGGGCTTTATTTTGTAATGATATGTCAGTTTAACATAAAGTTTTTTTGCTTTTTGATGGTTGAATTCAGGCATATATATATATATATATATAAATATGGCAAAGAGTTTGTTCAAGCAAGAACATGATCTTGGTTTGTATTGAACTTTTGTTTTGTGATTTTTTTGCATAATGCTTTGTGAAGTAGGGTTATTGTTGTTTTCTGACTCTGTTGTTTTGTACGTTTTGCAGAGAAGAGACGCGCTGAAGCTTCTAGGATTAGGGAAAAATACACAGATAGGATTCCGGTGAGAATTAAGTTTTTTCATTGGAAATTTTCGTTGTATTATACAAATTTTGTTTGTGGTTGTTGGTTGGCTTCTATTTGAATGTAATTACTTATGTGCTGTTTATGCTTGGTACATAATTGTATGGACTTTGAGTGAATTGGCAATCTGTGTTGCTATGAGTCTCTGAAAATGCACTACTTTCGTGACATTTTTCAAGAGGCCGAGCAACATAGCTTCAAAATCTCTGTTATACAGCGTTATCTGATGCCAAACTGCATTTTGAATCAGAAAGCAAAATACATGATACATGATCATCATTGGTAATTTTTTTTGTCTCAAGTAAAACAGGGTTTGGCTTCTCATGTTTAGTGTATTAGCAAATTAGGCTAAAGTGTTGTTGCTTTAGTATTTTATTCTCTTCGAGTGTCTTGTGGGCTGAAGTCTGCTCATTTGTTCCAAACCAGAGTTTCTAGTTTCAAGATCGCGCTTTTAGTACGCGTGTGGTGAGATGTTCCAAGCCCGGTATCTACTCTCCTATATTCTCCGCGGCTTCTGTTGACTCCATTTATATGATGTGCAGGTAATAGTAGAAAAGGCTGAAAGGAGTGATATTCCCAACATTGACAAGAAAAAGTAAGCATCCATCAATATTTTTCTCATTATAATCCATCTAAAGACTCTAAACGCTCCATCGTGCTGTAAATCTTTGTGTTCCTATTTCGTTTGTTTAGAACATGCCATGTTCATGAGTATATAATCACTTCCTCCTTGGCGAATGACGTTCTCCAAAACTTGATTAACCTTCTCCTTGGCAAAGGTTCTTTTAATATTTTTATCATAGCTTTTTTACTCTTGCATTTCTTTCAAATCATTTTCTGTCAGAAACGACCTCTCTATCCCCACCAAGGTAGGGTTGAGGTATGTGTACGCGCACCCTCTCCAGACCTCACTCGTGGGAATTAGATATGTTGTTGTTAACTATTGTCGTCTTCACCACCAAACTAATACATAATATGTTTTTCGTCAATTGACATAATTGCAGGTATCTTGTCCCAGCTGACTTGACGGTAGGGCAGTTTGTGTATGTCATTCGAAAAAGGATTAAATTGAGTGCAGAAAAGGCAATTTTCATATTCGTCGACAATGTCCTACCACCAACAGGTGAGTGAGTGCTAATCTCCAAAATGTTTTGGTGTTTTTTTTCCAGGGAAGAACTTTATATGTTCAAACTTTGGAGTATTTCAATTGAAATAATGAGTTTTCACTCACAAATCATCATCAGCTTTATCTTCCAGAAGTATTTTTCGAATTTAACTTCAAAAACACACTCTTTTCTCCAATTTCTGACAAAATAATAGCCAAACCCCTCGCGCTTTACAGGTGCAATCATGTCTTCCATCTATGACGAGAAGAAGGATGAAGACGGTTTCCTTTATGTTACCTACAGTGGAGAGAACACATTTGGGGAACCTTAATTTGGTGTAGCTTTCATGGTATTGACAGTGGATCATTTGCTTAAAGCTCTCATTTTCATCGTCCATCGACAGTGAAAATCACTTGCTGTTTCCATCTTTATATAGGTTTTTAGTAAATAACAAGAAGTTGTGTATAGCTCATACCTGTGTATAGTTCAAGAAAACAAGTACTAAAATCTTGTGGCAAGTGATGTTAATAAACAGTTGAATTCAGTCTCATTGATAATTGTGTTATTTTCCTGGAACAATTTCTTTAACTTGCATGTATGTATATACTGCATCATATGGTTTCACTCCAAGAGTCGTTACTTCATTCATTCTTCTCAAGATAACACTAAGACAAAGAACACCAATGGAGTACTCGCGCACCCCTCACTCACCAGCTACAGCTCGGAAAAGTAAGCAGTGAATCCGACCAACCATTTGTGTAAAGATCTTGATAATCCAGCAAGGAAATGGTAAAATAACCGTAGAAGTACAAATTTAATATCGATACAAGTTCAAACCTCAAAATGGCACAGGCTTTTCGAGGAATGGGGTCAATCTAAGCACCGCTGCAGTTGACGATGAAAGGTTTAACAAACTTGATGAATTCTGAAGTCCTCACCCCCAGTTTAAGATCAATCTCACCGCCTCCTAACCAGAAGAAGTCAGGGCTGAGTTTGGCAATTGCTTCATCCAAAATCACCTGGTAAATTTAGTAGCATAAGTTGCATTTGCAGTCACAATACTAGTACCACAAATATTTTCCTAATATGGTTAGGAGCATATGTGTTTGCTGTGGCCTAGTGGTAATGAATGACATCTCATATTCAATTTCAACGGAGACCAAAGAAACTACATGTACATCTCCAAGCCTAGGTGGAAAGAGTTACTTGATACCTATATGTTGGTGGGAAGTATCAGGTACCCCATAAGGATAGTCGAGGTGCACACAAACTGGCAGGGTAAATAACATTTTTAAGCTTAAGGGGTAAGAAAAGATGTTTGAATTTAATCTCGAATGTTTGTGGTTGAATCATGACTTTGAAAGAAATCATCAAGAGAACATGAACTCATAATATCCACTTTTCAATTCATACGTTTGCTTCTACTGATGAAAATCATTTTCTTTAGTTGCTGACAACGTTTCAGTAGAACATCGATCTTCAGACCAAGTTTCAGCACATTTTTTGAACCACAGTTCCCTAGGTACACTTTATATATAAACCTATAAAAAGGAGGGTGCACTAGGCAACATTTAAACAGAAGTTCTTAAAAAGCAAAGAGTGAATACCGGTATATCTGTTTTCATGCCAACACACGTAACTCCATTGTGTTCAAAACCAGTCAGTTTGATTGATGTCTCCTCGGGAGCAAGTCTCACTGCAAAAAGCAGACAATAGCGAATATTATTCTACATGAAGTGTACAACATAATGTGACTCCAAATATTGGCACAACTCATTAACTTGTACATGTTTCTTACAAAACATCAACAACCAAAAATATAGTACTCTCTACATTAAGAAGGAGAATTAAGACAAACAAATTGAGCAGGAGGAGTTATTATAAGCAGCAAAGTGCATAGATCAAGTCTCTCAACCTCATAACTTCAGTTCTTTACTGCGTGTTTCCTAAGTGAATAATTTATTCCAGTTTCTCTTAGTCTTGTATCCAGTGGCTGAATCATAGTTAACACGCTCATTCAGAGCATTACTGGCTGAGAACACAGAACTTCATGACAGTGTATCTACCAGGTGAAACTAAACAAATCATATAAAGCAGCACAACCGAAATACTATTAGCAGATCATTTAAGCATACCATCTAAACAGTAGAATAACAATTTATTCCTGAACTACATGCTTTCTTATAACAACCAGTCAATAAGCTGCAACTTGTGAGAGACAATTACATCGCGTGACAACTCTTACTCCCATCACTTGGGGTGGCTCTCTAATATGCTCAAGTCCAAGTAAACCTCATAACAAGATAACATTACGCCAAAGTCATCTCCAACAAAACAAGCACATGAAGACTATAACACGTACAGTTAGCAGCGGCCAACTCTCTTTTTCTTTTTTCGACCATTAAATATGCAGAAGAGGACATCCCAAAAAGCGACCTCAATACAAGAAATATGTTTGATAAAGTTCATTACAAAAAATATATATCTGAGTCTTTCTCCTAAAAGTTGCAAGGTTAGAGTTAAACTACAAAAGATTCTAAAGTACGTGACTGGCCCGAGGAAGACAAAAAGATTGCTTCTTTGTACTTAATAAGACATAAACATATACTTCAATCAACAAGCATATGCAATACAAATAAGCATGTCTCATTTATGTTATTGATTGCATCTTTACACTCCGTAAAACATAACACATACTTTGACTATGCAATATATATATATATGCAGATTTCATATATGGTTATTCATTTTGTTTGTATATACATCAAATATTACCTGAGTAGAGGGGATTGGATGTAGAGGATTTCTATAGCCAAACCCAACTAATTTGGATTGAGGCACAGTTGATTCCTTGATTGATACATCAAAAGCCTACACAATTAATATGGTCTTTTCTGCAAAGTCTTTTCTTAGAATGATCAAATTAACACTTCTAATTCGATATTTTCATACAGGGTTAAGATTCTCCAATTCATTTTTCATTCAAATCACTTTAACTGCTACACCTAATGAATATGCTGTTTAGAGAAGGAACTTACTGTTGAATTTCTTTTTGGCTATCTTGCCATCATTGAGTGTGTATAGGAAATTCTTCACAGTCTCAGCATTAAATCTAGCAGTATACTGCAATTATGATAGTATAAGAAGAACGTTAGATTAGTCATACATACTATTTCTAGACCCCAGAACTGAAGTTGCACAACAGTTACCTGTACAACTACGACATAGTACTTTGAATTGTTACGATCACTACAATCAGTGATATTAGATGGGGCTTGAGTATTTACCTGCATTTGAGCAGACAAATTTGACTAAGATAGGATAGAGTCCCTTCTAAAGAGACATCGAGATATTTTAAAGTTAAAAGCACATACAACAACAACAACATACCTAGAGTAATCCCACAGGTTGGGTTTTGTGAAAGGTAGTGTACCCCCCCACATACACACCCGAAGTCAACAAAAAACAAAGGAAAAGGAGCATGCAAATCATAACCATTTTCAACACGAGAATTTCATGTATTGGATTGCACGCTAGTACAATGAAATTTTATTTGAGATAACTGTGGTTGTTCTCATAACCATGTTTCCAACTTTCAAAAATGCAAAACCATTAAATTACTCAAGCCTTAAACTTTGATGTGTTTTTTCTTCGACAAGCTAACTTTTATAAGTATTGTTTTACTGCTTTCTTCCTCTACCACTAATATACACAAGTCAAAATGAATATCTTAAACATTGTGCCCAATCAAACACCATTATAAATTGAAACAGATGATCTATTAATTTTGTTCGCAATTGAGAATCTAAACAGTGTTCCTATTAGACACTTCCAATTTAAACTTTGAAAAACTTCTCCCATGCTATCAAGAGTCTATTAGGTAGTTAAAGATAAAATCTGTCATCTCCTTTAATTATACACATCAACCTCAATTCAAATAGACCATAGGTTTTACTGCTTGTTGAGGCTAATGCATAAGTGGTTAACTCATCTACCAAACCAAGAATACTTGACAACTCCTAAAAGCGAATAGAAAAAGTCCAATATATAAACTGTATCAATTTTTCAGATGCTCAACAGAATTTACAGACTAATTTAAGGGACTGTATTAGTCCTAATACTATTACGAAATTAATACCAAATGCTTGTCTTAAGACATGAAAATGAAGATAGGTAGGAGGTACCAGAACAATGCTTTTGCAGAGATGGTGAACGGATGCAGCGCCTAAAACATCACGACGAGCTTCGAGAGGCCAATCATAGTAATCAGAGGCAACACGCTTGAAGCAGAAATCTCTGACGCCATTCCCGAGGAGAATGGAGGATAGGCAGTCCACGGTGGTGGTGTCGTCGGCGACCGCGGTACTGGCGGCGGAGAGAGGAGTATCGCCGGTAGGAAGAAGAGAGAGCTCGAGGTTTGTTATTCGTTGAAGGATTCGGGTCTGGAGTCGCTCCAAATCTGCAAATGACTCCATTGCCCCCTCAACTCTTACCCTTTGGTACTTTGTGGCTATTGGACTACAAAATGTTTCTGTTTTTACGATTAGTATTGCTTCGAAATATTCGAGCTCTAATATAAATATTTAATATCAAGTTAAAATTGAAAAAAATACTCGAGCTTTAATATAAATATTTGACATCAAGTTGAAATTGGAAAAAAAAGGTATTGTGGCTCTAGTTAATGCCTAATTTAGTGTGGTATCTTGGTTTTCTTATCTTTCTCTGAATATTTAGGGCTCGTTTGGCCATAAATTTTTTAAATAATATTTGGAAAAAATTTGACAAATAATGTTTGTTCATACAATTTGTCATTATTTGGCAAATATTTTTGGCAAATATCCCAAATTTCCAAATACTAGTTTTTTCTAATATTTGAACCAAATATCATTATTTGGGATATTTTAAAAACTAAAATTTTACCCCAATCTTTTATCTTTTACAAAAACACCCTCTCTAGTAGTTGCTTGCGTTGTATTACATCATTTTTTACGTGAACACCAAAATAGTGATGAAATATTTAATGAATATTAAATAATGATATGATTGTTGATGAAAATTATTAAAAATTGGCTTTAGGTAACAAAGTCACGTACTTTATCTACTTCACGATGTATGGAATAATTTTTGTTGCACTCACTCCAAATTATCACATTGCTTCATTGTCATGGACATTATTTGTTATTGTTGTAACTAACATTCAATTGACTTGTAATACAAACTTTTAGTTAGTTTCGATAGTTTTTAAAACTTGTGTATATAAATCATATTTTTCTAAAAAGGTGAATATATTTCCCAAATTCTATGGCCAAACACATGGTGAAATTTCACCCAAATTTTCACTCAAATAATATTTGCCAAGAATATTTGAAAATCTATAACCAAACGCTAGCTTAGTTTGTTGTTTTTATTGGCTAGATAAGTCATATTTAATTGTTTTGTACGTTGGTTCAAATTCTTCCTTCATTATAAGGATTAACTTTTTCACGACTGATTATTGATATGTTTCTGATAATAAGGGATTGAAAAACTTTCTTGTTCTAATCTTTTTTTTAAAAGGCAATTGACTATTAATCACGTTTATGTTCTCATGAGCGAGAAATTATTTAGAAAAAATGAATTATTCTAATGAATAGACATTTCTTAATCTAGTTATACTATGTTCTACTAAATAAAGTAAAGACATTTTTTCTTTGAAATTATCCCGCAAAAACTAAGTATAATATGAAAAAACAGAGTGAGGCTGCTTAACAAATAGTTTTTGCTCAAACATTTTCACAATAAGCTAATTTTATTCATCCGTCCAAGTATTGATGGACATATTTTAAAAAGGTGACAAATATTCAAAGATAACATATGTTTCGAAATAATCTTTCTAAACCTTAAAAAAGAATCTGGATGTAACTGAAACTCAAAAGTTCATACTTCATAAAAGACGACAGACTTTTAAAGAGATTTCAGCTGAATTCAAATTAAATTATTATACTTAAAGAAAAGATAATTTATTTCTTTAAAAAAATGATTTAATATTCTTTTTAATCTATTTTAAAAAATTTCTTTATTTTTAAATTTAACTTTTCATTTAATATATTTATATTACAAAATTAAAAAATATTTTAAAATCATAAGCTTTTCAAAAGAGATGAATTGTTATGAAATCTCTGTAAAGACCATTTAAAAAATGCCATGTTGTCAACTTTCCATCACTTTATTCTCATTTTCAACTCAGTGTGTTTACCCAATCTCCTCCTTCAACCAAAGTTCCATATTTTCAGTTTCACAGAAAAATCAACTACACATTTTTTGATCAACTATGTCATCATCATCTTCATTAAGCCTTGATGGTCTAGAACTAAACCAAGTTTTCTTCAAATCAATCGCCAACAGTAACCCGCCATCTCAGACGAATCACCACACGAAGATCTCCGTCATCGGCGTCGGCAACGTCGGAATGGCCATCGCTCAAACAATCCTTACTCAGGATCTCGTCGACGAGCTAGCACTCGTCGACGCAAATTCTGATAAATTACGCGGCGAGATGTTGGATCTCCAACATGCCGCCGCGTTCCTTCCGAGAACTAAAATCGTTGCTTCGGCTGACTATACGGTTACGGCCGGGTCGGATCTCTGTATTGTCACGGCGGGTGCTCGGCAGAACCCGGGGGAGAGCAGGTTGAATTTGTTGCAGAGGAATTTGGCGATGTATAAAAGTATTGTGCCGGAGCTGGTGAAGTATTCGCCGGAGTGTATATTGTTGATTGTATCGAATCCGGTGGATGTTTTGACCTATGTTGCTTGGAAGTTGTCTGGGTTTCCAGTGAATCGGGTTATCGGGTCGGGTACGAACTTGGATTCGTCTAGGTTCCGGTTTTTGATTGCTGATCACCTTGATGTTAATGCGCAGGATGTGCAGGTAAATTCAATATTTTGTGTTTGTTTAAATTTTTCCTTTTTCTTTTTTAATGATCATGAAATCACACGTTTAAGCTATGAAAACGAACGTATGTTGAATAAAACACTTGTGGTCTTGTCCTTCTTCGAACACAGCATAGCTGGAGTTTAATGCATCTTGTTGCATTTTTTTTTGTCTATACACTTCTTTATGTGATCGTGTTTGTACGAGATAAAAGACGTGTGTTGTTTGGACTTTTTAAAAAGATATTGGATTCTTAAAACTGTACTGCATTTAAAGTATCTAACACTCATCCATCCACATTTTGAAGTATCCTATCAACATGATTTAAGACTAATGTATATACAATAGCAATATATCTAATGTAATTTCATATGTGAGATATGGAGAAGTTAAGATATACGTAGAGCTTACCTCTATCTTTGTCGGATAGAGAGACTATTTTCGATTGACCATGTGGGGACAGAACAGGATACGATTTGTCATTATGATGTTGGTATCTTAGCATTTAAAGAGTTGTTCCAAACCATAGACAGTATTCATACAAATTGTGTCACAAAGTTTGTTCTTTTCTACTCATGTAAGCTAATTTATAGTAGAATGATTGTTAAAGAATTGAACTTACCAATCTAGTAACAAAGAGTGGAGCATTTCAGTTGATTTTGACAACGATGGCCAACAAAAGAGTTGCTAGAACACCCTTTTGGGTGGTCCAGTGGTTTGAGTGTGGGACTTTCATATTGGAGGTCTCAAGTTCGAAGCCCCTTGCCAGCGAAAGCAAGGAATTTGCCTTCTGGGTCAAGCTTATCGTACCAAGCTTGTCTAGTGGAGATTACCTCTCCTATATGATTTACGAGCTATTGAATAAGAGTGACAGCAGATTTTCCTTGTCATGAAAAAAAAAAGTTGCTAGAAGACAATTTTTTAGTACTTAGTTTGTATGATTATCAGCAGACATTTATATTTAAGTTTTATTTAAAAAAAATTGCCAGTAGCTCATTGTACATCAAACATTAGGTTATTTTTGTTTTATTACTTTAAAGAAAACGACAAAAAGGAACAATGTATAAAGAAAGAAAACTAACATATAGGTCAGTCAAGGATGGAGCTAGAAGGTTGCGTAGGTGTTTGGTATAACTCTAGTCCAAATAGTATGTTTATATCTAGAACTTCATTAACTATGTACAAAAATAAATTCAAAACTCAGTGACTAACGTTTGACATCATCATTCTGAATAAATGTTGATAAATAATTAAAAAATTTTAGTAAACAATTTATTGGTATCGGGGCAGATTACTCAATTATCTTATTGGGCAAACCATTAATCGTTAAGAATTATCGTAGTTACTTTTATTTTTCATCGAGTATATTTGTTAAATGAATGACTATGTGTATGCATCCTCAAAATTTTGAACTTCCATAAATTTCTCTCTGTGATTTAATAATTATAAAATTACCAGCTTAAGTAGAGCTTCTGTTTGATTGAAGATAAATATGTTGGTGAGTGAAAGTGAAAAATGGTGCATGAAATGATTGAGCCCGTACCCCTTCTGTTAACCATCCATTAATTACTATTCGATACCAAACCAACCGATAGCTTATTGGTTGGCTAGCGGATTAATATATTTAAAAACCGATTAGCCAATTGGTTAACCATAGTTATCCGCCCGATTCGTCCTATAAGCAGCCCTAAGTACTTGGTTGAGACTATTGAGTATATTTGAGTTATACACTGATACTCAACTCTGTTTTCTGCTTGTATATATTGAAGATTGAGAGAGCTTTTATAATTTGTCTGATTATTAGTTTTTGAAGTCTTATGAAGCACATTTGATGTCTTATAATATGTTTGTATTTTTTATCATTAGTAGAGAACCATACTATGTTGTTGATTCTCTACTTTTTGGTATACAGGAAATATTTCAATATAATGAAATTATGTACTACATCAAAAAACTGAACTTCTTTTGTCTATACTAGGCATACATTGTTGGTGAACATGGTGATAGCTCTGTTGCACTGTGGTCTAGTATTAGCGTTGGAGGGATTCCGGTTCTTAGCTTTCTGGAGAATCAACAAATTGCTTTTGAGAAGGATACATTGGAAAAAATCCATAAACAGGTTGTGCAGAGTGCATATGAAGTGATCAATCTCAAAGGCTACACATCGTGGGCAATCGGTTACTCTGTGGCTAACTTGGCTTTTTCAATCATTCGAGATCAGAGAAGGATTCACCCTGTCTCAATCCTAGCAAAGGGGTTCTATGGTATTGATGGCGGCGATGTTTTCTTGAGCTTGCCTGCACAGCTTGGTAGAAATGGAGTTTTAGGTGTGACTAATGTGCATCTTACTGATGAGGAAATTCAGCAACTTAGGAACTCTGCTGAGACTATCTTAGAAGTGCAAAACCAGTTGGGGATTTAACTTGGTTAAGTTAATAACTTTCCCTTCTGTGTTGCCCGAATCCTTCAAAAACATCACTGGGTGTGTATAAATCCTCCGAAAGTAGAGGATTTGACATGGGTGCAAGCAACAATTTTTGGAGAGTCCGAGCTACATAGTTTCCTTTGGTTACCACTACTTAGTAGTATTGTTGTTATACCATCTAATTTAATTAGAATTTTCTTTTTTTGCAAGATATGACCTGTGTTACATCATTTGGT